GATGTTCCTATCCTACATGCTCATTTACTACAATCATTACAAATTTCAGCTTGCAATTAAAGCATGCACATTCAATTGCGTTAAACAAGAAATGGTTCATGTCCTATGCAGTGTTTCTGTTTCTATCTAAAGTTTCTCAACGTCCACAGATATTATTCAACGTAAACCTAAACCAAACCTTTTAACCTAATAACATGTTCGTCTGTCTCCTCCAGCACCCCTGAAGGCAGTTTTAAACTGGTGTGCTGCTGCAAACCTGAGAACGTTTATGTCTTTACAGACGTCAGATGAGTATAAACATGCGTTGCCACTCATAAATGATCAGATACAGCTGATGTAGACTATTAACATAATTATTATCTGTTTGAACAAGGGCACATAGACTAACAAGCCTTGACAATGTAAGTAGCCTTGCATAGCTGTTGGCTACTTTTAAAAACATCCGTTCAAAAAACAGTATTATTTCCTTTGGCATATTCCTAAATTTAAGAAAAAAACATGCATTTTTTGGTAGAAGGAGTTGCACTAGTGGTAAATGATTTTTACCGGACATTGTGTATAGCAGTCTTGCAGAGTTGAGTGGGGAGGGGTTGACTGATACTGAGGTATCAATCAGCCACTCCCCACTCAAGACCAAACAGAAAAATAAAAACAGCTAATAAAAAACCTTCCTCCTTCCCGGCGCTGCTCCGTCGCACATAAACATGAGGAGGTTTCTGTAAATACCTCTCACTCAGCACTGTACAGACCCAAGACACAAAGCACAGATGGCAGCCATTAAGGTACTGCTAGTGAGTCTGGAAGTCTTTGATTTGGAGCAGAGATCCTATCTGCCGACTGCTCTCACACACTCTCACGGCAGCCTGTTCGCTCTCTGGCCCGCTCGGTATCTCTTTCACACACATCCACACGTGTGGGGAGTAATGGGAGCTGCTTGTTGAGGAGGGGACGTGGGTGCAGAGGAATGCCTCCTTTATTTTTCTAACCTCTGCAGCTCCATGTGTGCAGCTCTGCTCAGTTTGCATGGGACTCCCACCGCTCCTTCCCAGCCTGTTCCTCTGCACTGTGTCAGCTTCCTCCTCCAGCTGCGGGGACGCTGTCAGGGGAGCACTCGCTGTTCGTTTCAGCATTTGGACCACACTTAGGCCGAAAAGTATGGAAACATGAAAGTTTTAACGATATTTCATGATTAAGTCCGTCTGCAAACAACCAACCGAACATACTTACTGACATCTAGTTGTATCAAAGACATAGGGAAGCATTATATAACGGTAACTGATAAATCATTTGCCAATGAGTGGAACAATGGAATTTATTAATAAAGGTCCAATATTAGAATTACAACCAATAATTACAATCAACTTGGTGCACCATTTGTGCTCACATACACACTAATGCGTGTCACTAGTGGTGGCCAGCACAATGGCTAACATCCCCACCCCACCAGCAGAAAACTGAATGTCCTATTTCTCGTCCTGGCAGAACTGCTGCACCAACAAGAGTGCTTGGGCTGGACTCCTAACACTACATTTACCTGCCATTAGGCCTGTCATAGCCATGAAATATTAGCTGAAATATAAACAATTGGTATTAACAACTTGCCATTTTTGTTCATTCTATGCAACAAGCCCAAAGGACTCTAATAGGCAGATTAGCTATCTTGCTTATCTATCAAGCTCAAATAAACATTCACCGCTGCCTACTAAACATGTCATAGCACCAGTCAGAATTTGGTGAATTTCATTGGACACATACTGTATCTCAATAAATGCACTTTGTGCTTTCTATCACTTATTTTTATTTATCAACCTAACCGCACCACTAGTGGTAGCTAGCATAGTGCATAACACTCCCACCTCACTCATGGACGATTGGACATTTGATTCCTCATCCAGGCAGGAACGCCACTGCGATACCAACAAGAGTGCCTGGGCTAGACTCCTACATTCATCTAATCGTAAGTCACTCTTGACAATAACTGCAACCTGTTTTATGTTCAATGCATCATATCAGAATTATAGTGTGACTGTTTTAAAACGCAAAAAAAGGAAATGATCAGCTTTGTTGCATCAGCCACAAAAAGTTATCATTATTGGTTGGGAAATGCTATATAGAAGCAATCCTCAATGACGTTACTCCAACATATTGCACTGATTTGCAGTGATGTACTCTTAATTTAATGTATTATTTGGGAAAAAGCCTCCAGACTCTTTGGTAATAATGGTGCCTTTCACTGAGCAGTTTTTAATTCTTTACAAGCTCTTAATTTAACACACTTGATTAAGTTCAATAAGCTTCCAGAAGCACCTGAATGTGCAACTCTACAACAGAGTCACCAGGAATAAGGCAAAAAATACCCACCCTAAACATTTTATTAATAAACATGTCACTCTCCATTTGTCTTGAAAAAATGAAACCTTCACATTTATTTTTATGTTAAGTTAGTGTTGCTTCCAAATGTTTGGCCTGTAGTGAACATGCTGGATCATAGTTCAACTGTTAATAAATTTCCATCTGTAAGCACTCACTACCATAAATTCAGTGTTTTTCCATGATAATCAAAATACAAAGCCGTTATGACAGTTGCTGTGTCGCGTGCAGTATAATTTAACATCCCAGACTGGACTCCTGGTATGCAGCACATCTCTTTTCAAAGATTTACTACATACCAAAAACAAATTCACCAAACAGATTAACAACCTTCAGCCATAATTAGCTGCAAAAGTGAAATAAACCTTCTGACAGGAACACTGAGCACATTTAACTTGGCTGTTGTTTAAATTTAAGCCTAGCTCGCCTTTAACAGTGCACTTCCAAGCATCCAGCTCTGTCAGTGAATGGGATTCTGCAGACTAAACTCCACATACCATTCCGGCCCTTTCGTTTACACTAGAGAAAACACTTATATATCTTCCATATCCGGAATTCAGCCAGAGGTATCCAGAGTGCGCCACAGCTTGTGATGAAACTCAATGAAATGGATGAGTTTCATACATATCGCATTTAGATGAGTACCAAGTTCTTTAAAGCATTAGAAGAAACACTTCCACGTCCAGAATTTAGCCAGAGATACTGAGAATGTCGTACGGGGCTTCGTGGAGGTCATCAACTTGAGCAATTCTTCATAAAGGCTACCAACATGACCACCTGACCATCTCAAGTAAAATGGCCAAGCAAGCAATGGTGAGGTAAACCATATACAAGTAACTGTTCTTGACTGAATGAAAAAGCGCATGTCATTGTTTCTCAACTGGTACCTTTGGACTGCTTTCCTTGCTTTCAGGTTGTGGTTCAGCCTGCCCACCCTGTTAGTTTCCCTGTCCTTCAGTGACCTGGCCCGGCTTTAAATTTGCTGTTTTTGTCTGCTGTATACAACGAGCCCAAAGGGCCACAATCTGCAGATTAGTTGTCTTGTTTCCTAGCTGTCGACACTTAGCAGCTCCCAACTGATGACAGACACTGTTCAAACTCAAATAAACAAACATCACTCATCGCTGTCCTCGAAACATGTATCTCAGGGCGCTTTTGGCTTTCTTTTATGAACATTTATTCACTGATCCAACAAATGCGATAAACGCACCTAATGGTGATGTAAACATGTAATTGTTAAAGCCAACAACTGTGGAAAATAATGGCGATCAGCTCAAATAATTGTGATCAAACCTACTCGCACATGCAGTGAGATTAGCGGTGATGGAACCAAATGAAATGGATCAATTTCATACATATTGCATATAGATGGGTACTGAGTTCTTCACAACTTTAGAGGAAACACTTCTATTTCCCAAGGTTAGCCAGAGTGTGTGATAGAGCTTCATAGAAGTAATCAGTCAGTTCTTCATAAAGGCAAAAGAGCTTCCAAAATATGACCACCTGACCATCTCAACTAAAATGGCCAAGCAAGCAATGTAAACCATCTACAAGTTGCTCTTGAGTGAATGAATAAACAGCATGTCACGTTCTCTCAGCTGGTACCTTTGGACCGCTTTCCTTCCTTTCAGCTTGTAGTTCAGCCTGTCCACCCTGTCAGTTCTCCCTGTCCTTCAGTGACCTGGTCTGAAACTGATATTAGCTGTAGAAAAATCTTTGTTTGGCAGCTAATTTAGCTACACTGTTATATCACTGTAGTAACCAGACAGGTTCTGCAAACAGCCATCTATCTGGTAGCTCTGACTGAATTCGATGGTCTAAAGAACAGAGAGGACACGAAACAACGACACATTAAACACTGCGACCTACTAGTCTGATTAAAAAGCTTTCCTGGCACGACAGTGCTGCTTCAAATAGATCCTCCTGTGAGAAAAGTGGCTGTATTTTTAGGTTTCTTCACCAAATTCCGTTAAAAACGGTTGAAATTCAAACCTGACGAAAACTAACGGTCTGCAATCAACAGTTACCGTTAGACGAAAAACTGACATAACCTGACCTGGTTAGCGCACGGTTTTAGGCTGCACGTTCAACAGCAGGTTAGCTAGCCAACATACAGCCCATTGCTTTTATGACTTATGAAGAGAAAATGAAGCCATTCGTCCATTCAGTTGTGATTTTGACCAAAATGTACCACAGGTTGTTGTCATAGTGGCCGGAGCCCCACAGCTTCCAGCGCCAAGCGGCCATTCCATTCATTTGCTCCACTCGAGATTCAAACCTAACACAGCCGTACAGAAACAAACGAGCTGCATCATGTGAGACTAACAGTTACTGTACAACCAGAACAACAAACTAAAGCTACAGGCAGAAACAAACGACAAAAACCCCTCCAGAATGATCTTTGGCGGGCTGGCTTGCCTTCGTGGTGAGCATATGAGAGAAATATGGGCTAGAGGACAGTGGAAAACATAAAACTGCCCCCGGCTTTAAACAGCCTTTTACTCTGAACAGCCACACAGCTGAACGTCCACATAACGCTCGTTTTAGACTATTTTAAAAACAAACGGACAAGCCGCGCTGACCTGCTGAGAGCAGCACCAGTGAAGTCAAGAGAGCAAAATTAAACCTACCTAAATCGGGGTGAATCTTTGATGCAGTCTTCAAAATCCACCGTCATTTTGGGCGAATTTCGTCCTCCGGTTTAAAGCGAAATTTTCATCGCAGACCCAGATAGGCGAAATGAACAGGAGCAATCCCGTGTGCGACCGTATTACCGTTCACTCGTCCACAGATGAGGAGAGCCAAGCGCTGCTGGCCAGTGTGGAGCTGCTCCAGAGGAAGAGTTGGGGACGGTCGCTAAAGTGTTGTTCGTCTGAGAAAACGTGCGCGTCAATCAAAGTGATTAGCACTTCAACGAAAATCCTACTTATTTTCAAAACGTCAGCATAATTCATTCATTAAGATGTAGAAAATGTCATTCTGAGTAGTTTGATGTGAAATTTGGACAGAAACTGAGGTAGTAATGGGAACTAGACATCTTATGCATGTAATGCAAAGAAAGCCATCATTTGAAATGGAAATACTTTGCCTGATGGTTGATACATTGTTTTTATGATAGTTCTGAGATAAAGCTGGACTACGATGTCTTTTTTCAAAACCATTCTTGATGGAGAGGTATATGCAGGGCATAGATTAGCCCCCAAGGAAACGTGCCTTTTCAGATTTTTGTCGATTTCACTATTATCAGCATTACTTATAAAAAAAAACCTCAGAAAACATGTATTGGTTCACTGATCGTTTTGTATGGTAAATAAAATGGCTATATTTGCATTGTTGACATTGTGACCCCTGGTTCCTATCACTACTGTAAATAGTCTGAAATTCTCTCTACAACAAACCTTTTCACCACCACCAAATCTACCCTGAATGACTTTGTTCACATCTCAACCACTGAGATATGCACAAATTAAAAAAAAAAACGGAATTTAAAAAAAGAAGAATTTGTTTCTCAGGGATCAATTTTGTTCTTGGATAAAAGAAGTGGTAATAAATGTTAAACAATAGTGCATTTTGTTTTAGCTTTTTGCTTAATTTAGCGTGAAATGATAACATTTTTGTTAACCTAAACAATCAGCAAAACCCTGCGTAGTTGAGTGTAAACCTTTCCTCTGGCTGTTCACATTCTTTTGCAGGGAAGTCGAGGCTCGGAATTGCATCATTTTCAAAGCCTCACAAGCAAGCATTGTTAGCAACACGCTAACCAGCTAACGTTGGTGAAATGAGTGAGGTTTTTAACATTCATGATGTACTTAACATCTCAAAATATTGAACCTTGCTCATTGTTATGGATTTGACCAATTACTGTCTATATGTTTGCTAATCTGAAGCAAGTATCATTTAAAAGTGGAGAAGTGGTTTGTTACTGTTGAGTCTTGTTAATTTGATGTCATGCTCTGCGCTCGCAGTTGAGAACGCCATTCCGACAAGTAGGAATTCCAAGCTGAGGAGACATTTTCTTGTACATTTCGAGTCTGAGATGAGAAATTCTGAGTTATGAGCTTGAGTCGAAGGCTAGCTGAGAGTTTGTAATGAATGATGGGTATTAGTTTTTTGCAACTCCTACCAAATTCAGGGGAAAACTGACAACAATCATGATGATGCCGAGCATGTTTTAATGCATTATAAGGCAGTAACACTTAAATGAACAGTTAGAACAATTTACATTGTTCTTCAGTTACACTTCTCTCTTCGATTCTCCCTATTTTATTACGTGTATTGTTTGGCGTCAAAGAGAGAAAAATAGTTTTGAGACGGTCCCTAAATCACTTTGGCCGCAACACACACCCCGTCAATATTCTTCGCGTGAGTGAACAGGTTGGAAAAAAAATCCCAAAAAGCAGCGGACGGTTTGGTTCCACGTCTTTAAGTTCATTTTCTGTCAGCAGCTGATCATCTGATGATTATTGTTCAGTAGTTCAGAGTGTAAGGTATGACATTTCTCTCAGCATCACGTTCTGCTCATACACTAATGAAGACAATCACAGGGTTAGCGTGGGAGCTAATACTGCATTAGCACGCGGCAGCCTGATGAATGAGGGTCCAGATAAAATATAGTCCCAATTAGAGCAGCAATGTGCGTGTAAGTGTCAGCTCAGACAGGGCGTCGTAAAAAATGTGTTTAAAGGGCCAGTACGCCTCTTTAATGACCCGCTGGAGGCGACTGGACAGCCACGTGACCACATGACCCCTCGTTAAAATAAAAGCCAAAATGGACCCCGCTGTCATAAAGGCATTAAACTGACATAATTGGAAAGAAGGAGCTTATTGTAGGCCTTTTTGTTGGTGTGGGAATGTTGTACAAAAGTCCCAGCATTCCTCTATTAAAATGGAGAAAAAAACAGTGGTGGCTGAAAACTGAATACATTGCTCTAAATGTATTCAGTAATATATTCATAATACATTAACAATACATATTGATAAGGCACATGGGAAAAACCTTTTTTACATATCCACTACTAAAGAGATTATTAGTTTGATCATCCTTCAAAAGAGTTTAGTAATGCTGAGATAAATAACTGGCTCATCACAACTCATCAGTCTACTCAGGCTTTAGCAGAGCTCAATAACACTGACATTAATAACTAATCACATTGATTTATCAGTCTACTCAATTTCTGTATTCTGAATATGTATTCCCAATACTTGTATTCTGTTATATCTTAATCCTGTTTGTTGCAGAGTCAAACTGACAGATCACTGAATGTACGCTAGTTCTGGGAAATGTTGAATAGCCTAATTGGTGCATAACATTTGACTACATTCTCAAATTACAGTATCTTATAATCTTCTAATGAACCATTTGCTCCAACAGCGCTCTAATATAATCATTCTCTTTGAATGAGGAGATCTAGTTAAGGCATAAAGCCTTGTAGCAGGCCCTCGGACTTGGGTGATGGTTAGGTGATGGTTTATGGCCTGCAGAGTGCAGTCCCTTTCTTTCTCACCGTTAGCGTAAATAATTAATGGCCCATCTCAGTCCGATCTTTGTGCATATAAAAAAGACACTCTTGTTTTGATAACATGAAATAAACAAGAATGAGAAAAAAGAAAGCATTACTTCAGATTGCCTTCCGCACTTATATGCAGTGTATATCACCACAACACTACATTCATGTAAACTGTAAACTAAAAGTCTATCATAATTAAAAATGGCTACTTTCTAGGGATGTGACAATACAACGTATTATATTGTGTTTAACTGTCCTATATAAGAAGAAACATATCTTAATAATTTTTTAAAAAAAATACACTTGAAATTGTGTAAAAATGCCCAAAAACCCAAATAACAAGTATATGTCGGTCTGCTGGCTTGATGAGGTCAACACCATGCTGGCTGTATGCCACTGCAGGTCCACCCTGGGACCACCCAGATTATTGTCCTGCATACAAGGTCTGACCAGTTTTTAATCTTCTCAAAAAGATTTTAAATGCACATAGTCTTTTATTTTGGAAAATAAACTAAGACATATATTACAAACTACTGAGAGAAAAAATGACTAGGCTTAATATTAAAATAAATCAGCTGGACTGTGAGTGGAAGAGCGATTAAAAGAGCCATTTCGTCTAATACTCTGCCTAACCACCAGTGGACCGCTCAAAAAGCCAGCAGGTCAACAGTGACCTGCTATCCTCTTGCTATCTGGGTGGTTAAGGCATGTAACAGCTTTATAGCTTGGCGTCATACTTGGGTGATGGTTTATGGCCTAAAGAATGCAGTTCCTCTCTTTCTCACTATTGACATAAATGATTTATGGTCCATCTTGGTCCGATCTTTGCTCACATGAAAGAAGCCCTTGTTCTGATAGCAGGAAACAAGAAAGGAATGCAAAAATGAAAAGCATTCCTTCAGATTGCCTTCAGCACATACATGCAGTGCATATCGCCACAATTGTACGTTCATGTAAACTATAAACTAAAGGTTTATCATGATTATGATGTGACAGTATGGCATATTATATTGTATTGAACTGTCCCATATGAAAATAGATATATAATATGTAATATGTTAAGTGTTTTTATAAAACACACTTGAAAATGTATAAAAATGGCCAACAATGTATTTTTGCTTAATGAACTTAAGTGAAATGTATAATAAAATACATGCCCATGTATTTCTTTTCTATGTATGTGAAGAGAAAAAATCCCATCTTTAGTGAGAACTAAGCCTCTAGTTTAGCTAGCAGAGAACTTGTAGTGAGAAGAATTACCACTCTGTAATGTCTTCCAAGTTTCTCAAACGCTTGAGGGCGCTGCTGAGCGAGTCCAAAATGGTTAATATGGAGCATTTGAGCAAAATCATAGTTCATAAATGCTTAAACATTTTTAATGTAAGAGAATACATATCTGAACACAGAACAGCATAAAACATTTTAACACCACTGTTATATTTTTAATTAGTTAAAAGAGTTCTAGGAGTTTAAAATGGCGCCTCATGTACATTCATGACGTCAGTGAGCGCAAACAGCCAATGAGCTACTCCACTCGCCAGCCAATCAGCACTCAGTAGCAGTAATGCTAGCATCCTGCTGCCCAAAACTCATTTGCTGTAGAAAAAAGGAAACATACAGGCAAGTTTTCTTCGCTTTTTTAGTGAAATGCATCCTAGTTAGAAACTATTTTAGCTTTTCGTTTTTAAGCCGTTTAGCTCGTTTTCCCCCCATTCTTTGAGGACTCACTCGCAGGCGTTTTTGATATAACAGGGGAAATAGGAAGAGGCCAGGTTCCCCTCATCCGGCTCAGTAACCAGTTTGGTCTGTGTCACAGAATGTAAAACATTCTCTGAAACTAAAGTTAGCTTAACATTTATCTCTTAGCATTGCTAGTGTCTCTTCTTTAACAAGAGTTCTACTCCAAATAGAGAAACAAACAATTGCAGAGTATTACATTGTTATATCGTGATTAGCATGCTAGTTTGTCATGTGTTAGCTTGGGGCTAATATATTAGCTAGTGGGTAGAGCGCCAGATTGGGTCACTGCAGCTTTTGATTCAGAAATCATACTTTTATAATATTGAATTCTAGTAAACTGACAATGGAAACATATTCATGTACATTTTCAAGACACATTTTCAGCTACTTATTTTTTTCTGTATTGAAAAATGTATTGAAATGTAGAGACACCACTCTATCATATCTCACTGAATAATTAATTTTGTGAATTTTTTCCTTTGTGTAGCATTTGTAATATAACATCCATTATCCAATATTTTTAAACAGGTTCATGCAATAATCCACACATGAGGTACTAGGTTAAAATTCTA